AATAGGCACAGTGCAGATAGTAAGGAGAGACCAAAAGGAAAGCTGGGGAATGACATTTGGTTTGTATCCAGTTAAGAAAGAAGCCAGGGACTCCCTGCTGCTGCTATTCATACCCATGTGGTATGTTTTCCTAACCTCTAAGCCAACTGATGTCCCACTCTGAGGGAGTGGGACTCTGAGAAGTCCCCGACATGACTCAGAAAGATGCGTTTAATTATATTTGTTTATATATGTTTTTGGAAGCATGTTCAGTGTTACTGTACAAAAATGACATTAATGTCCTAACAGGAAAGAATAAGGAAACAAGTATGAGAATATGCTGTGATCTGCAGCTCTTTAATATGACGCATCTTCATTAAGTAGCTATTAAAGATCATTTATATGACAGGATTATTTTTTATATATATAAATCTGTTTTTGCTGCCCAAAATGTTGAAAAATCTATTTAAAAAGACAAATTGTGATTTAAGAATTTTGCTGGATCTTAATTCTTTTGAATGCTAATATTTTCTGCTATTTAACACAAATCTCATGTCTCTACACAAAGCAATAAAGAATCAAGTGTGTCTTTAGTTGACCTACAGCATGTAGCTACTACTGAAAAGCAAAGGCGCGTGTTTTGCAGAGGAGCAATGGCTTGCTCTTGCTTTTTCTCTCTCATGTTATTGTCAAAGAAGCTGCAGGCTGCATGGAAAAGGTTGAAGGTTCAGGTCAACGTGTCAGCGAACGTATCCCTGCTCTGAATGAACACAAATCGATTAAGGTGTGCTTTGACCTTTTGCTTTATTCCCTTTCTCCTTTACTTTGTGATTTTTCACAAACCCAAAACATTAACTTGAAAATGTCAGACCTTATTAAGTCAATTCAACACACCTGGAGCTGAGGTTGTTTTCGATTCACATGCAAATATAACATTTCTGTGACAACAGACCGCCACTGCGGAGGCTTCGGGTGAAGAACATTTTGGTTTCGTGCCTCGCTTTCTTTCAATAAATTGCACAGAGCCGAACGTGTTCGTGTACGCTTGATGTTAAAATCCAGTTGCACTCTTGACTAATGATGGTGCTTATCAAATATTTATTAAAGAGCCAGAAATTATTAGTTGATGCTGTTTCTCAGAGTTGCTCTGCAGATTTGATCTGTTAAAAGGAAACAGTGCCTCTCAAGAAACAATCATTTATCATCATTATTGGCACGTTTAGCCAGATGTTAAGTGTTAGAGGCAGCCATTAGGCTTACAGAAGGTTAGATCAACACGCCGATGCTTTTAAATAAATTACATGTCAAATATAAAAACACAGGGGGAGGAGCCAAGGCAAAGATATTAAAACTAGGAATAACTAACAGTTTATGAATGATTAATCAGTGAAGAAAATAAAGATGAAAGAGACGACATCTTCTTTTCATATCCACGGTTTACACTGTATCCCTTGAAGCAGGTGCAGCTCAGCGTAAGCAGGGGAAAATATACAAATAATAAATAATATCTGGATCTGCTCTGGCCCGCTTTGTGTTTGTTTACGTGAGCTTATCTGCACATGTTAATCAGCGCATGAGTGTGACTGTCATGGCAGCCATGTGGTGCTATGCATCCACAGGGCTGCCCATCGTTTGAATCTGTTTAGCTTAAATAACAAAACCGACGTGCAGCGTACTCCACGGCTCTCCCCTCTCCTCGTGCCAAGAGGGTGACGAGGACCAGATTCCTCAGGCCCAACGCTGAAATTAGATCAGACCAATCTTTTAGAGGCTCGTGCAATCGGACAAACAGAGAATGGCGAGAGATAACACTGGCACGGACTCATCAGATTATAGAAATAATTAGTTGTCATGGATAACAGTCATCATTTGATGTGATTGGGTGGATTTATGCAGCTTTGGGAGCCTTGGATGGTTGCTTAGGAAGGAGCTGAGGAGGAAAGATGAAAGACAAAGAATTCTGCTTTGGCGTAGCGATGCGGCACCGGCTCGCATCTGTTCTGTCAGACTGTGATTACTGACAAACACTTTCCTTCCACTTCACAGTTTACACAAGTGATGCACTGATTGTGAAATCCTGGGCACATAACGATGTCTGAAGTAACGATTTGGCTTGCAAGAAAAATATACAATCAAAAGGCACGCATGAGGGCAAAGGTTTAAAAAGGCTAAATGCATACTGTAGCTTTGTGTAATGTTCTTCTTTTACAGCTTTGTATTAAAACAACATGAGCTGCAGTAGCTGTCTCTGACTTTTCTTTCCTGTTTCCTGTTTCCTGCTGCAGAGGAAGGCGAGTACTTCCTGAAGGTTTTGATTCCCAGCTATGCAGCGGGTTCAATCATCGGGAAGGGAGGTCAGACCATCGTCCAGCTCCAGAAAGAAACTGGCGCCACCATCAAACTGTCCAAATCCAAAGACTTCTACCCCGGTAAGACACCACCACCTCTGCTATATACGGATGAATGATGGAGTATGGAAAATAAAGGAAAATGTCATCAATAAGAATTTACACGATGGGAAAACTTCAAAGTAAATCATCTGAAATAATGACACAAAATATACCACTGTTTGCAGGATTGTCTGAAATGAACTTTTGAGGGGACTTACCTTAAGTTTATTTTTAAACCGACAGCTTACATTTTATTTTTCTGTTTACAGTATCGTATTTATT